TAAAGTAAGTAATTATAAGTCATGTTGAATAAAATTACTTTACATGATATATGAATCTCGTATAAATATTAGAAAAATCCAAAGTTCGGATTTTATGATAACATAATTTTTTGGGAGAATTATTAAAATACAGTGCAGACAACCTAGTCCCGACAAACAAATTTAGCTAATTTCAAAATGCTAATCCTTGTTCATAAAAAAACAATAAACAAAAAATCTCTTCATCAAGCTAAACATCTTGATGGTCTTAAATTTTTTTTTAAATTTATTTTTAATAAAATAGTAGAAAATTAAAGTCGAGACAATTTTATAATTAAACAAGTAATTTGGCGCTTAAAATACACTATTAAACAAGCAAATTTGGCCACTTTACACATTAAATTTGGCCACTCCATATATTGTTAAATTAAAATTTTAAATTTGGCCGTATCATATATATATAAATTAAATTTTAAATTTGGCCGCTAAAAATTTTCCTTTGTTGGGACTAGGTTGTCCGCACTGTATTATAAAAAATCTATAAAATGGCACTCACGAGCTAATAATTTATTCTAAAATCTGAACGAGATGATAGCTCATTAAAAGTTGATTGTAGAATTTTGTTTTTTTTTAATATCAAAAAATTTTAAAATTTTCATTCTTATCGTTATCATTGCAGATGTAAAAAGTAGATTGATCGAATATAATTCGTGTAACAACCATGTGAAATTCGTAATATGTATAGATCTATGTAAAAATTTTTTTTTCTAATATAAAAAAATGTTTTTACGAAATGGAAAAAACAATTAAACATTTTACACCAATTAATTTTACAAGTCAATTTGGATTCAGATCAATAATTTCACATCAATCATTTTCAAAATTAACTAGAAACAATTATACAACAAACTCTCTAATTAAAGTTTCAACTATAAATTCTAATAAATATTCAAAATCTAATTCCAATACAAAACAATTCGTTCAAAAAATTTTTCTGGCACTTTTTCCTATTGCAGGATTATGCCTTGGTACTTGGCAAATTCAACGTTTACGTTGGAAAGTTGGATTAATAGAAGAATATGATGAAAGGCTTTCTAAACCTCAGATGATTTTACCAAAAAGAATAAAGTAAAAATATATATATATATTTTTTTTTTTACAATAAATTTAATAAAAATTATAATAATAATAATAATTAAGATTAATAAATTGTTTAAAATACATTAAAAGATTAATTCAAAATTAAATCTGTAGATTAGAAGCTTTAAATGATTATTTCTATAGACGCGTTAAAACTTCAGGAAAGTTTCTTCATGATCAAGAAATGTTATTAGGGCCAAGGACTTTTGAAAACCAACACGGATATTTTGTTATTACACCGTTAGAACGAGAAAATGGGTGCATCTTTTTTTTTTTTAAAAAAAAAAATTATAATAAATGAAATTCATTATTTTCAAGACATTATATAATATTAATTATTTCTTTAGGACCACGGTGTTAATAAAACGTGGATGGATTTCTAAAGATAAAATTGATTCTTCTACACGAAAAGATAATCAGGTATTTTTTTTTTTAAAAAAAAAAAATTATGAATAAAAAATAATGGTAATTACTATATACATTGAAAATATTGCTTTTAAAAATGATTTATAGTTTGAAGGAATTGTTAATGTTGAGGGAATATTAAAAAAATCCGAAAAGGTATAATATTACCTTGTATTAAAAGATTTACATTTGGATTTATTTCATAAAATTCACATTAAAAAGTTGTAAGAATCGTAAAAAAAATCAATTACATAAAACGGTACAGAAAAATTGGTTCACACCTAAAAATAATCCGAATCGAAATGAATGGTTATGGATTGATGTAGAAACAATGGCCGAAATAATAGGAGCACAGCCAGTATTGATTGAACAAAGCTTAGGTATTATTCCTTAAAAATAATTCATTTCAATTCTTATCGATTCATCGTATTTTTCTTTTTTAAAAAAATACACAAATTAGAGGGATCTCCTTATTTGATCAACAAAATGATTGATGATGGTATTCCAATTGGAAAAATTCCTAGCGTTGAATTACGGAACACACATTTGCAATACGCAATCACATGGTAAAAATTATGTTTCGTCATAGTATATGCGTTTTCTAGCTATTACACAAATTACTTTATGATTATTACTTAGGTACTCATTGGCAGTTGCAACAAGTATTATGCTTTACACTCTCGTGAGGAGACCGCCAGCCGGACACCTTAAACGTAAAATAATGCAAGGATAAGTGCAATCCCATCACAAATGGGTTTTTAACAAGTATATTTTTTTCCTGCCAAGCTATTTGTTATTTTTTTAGAGTGTGTGGTAAAGAATGAGGTTATTTAATTACACCCTAAACTTTATGGGCCTCTAAATCAAACCATGCTACATTTTCAAATACATTCAATGTATTACTTTTTAAACCCCAAAATAAATAAGAATTCTCTCAGAAACCAAATTATTGCAATCTCAATGTTTGTCTTGTCATGAAAGTGACGAGCATATAAGTTACACATACGACTCGAGTCACTTTAACTCGTGATTACGGAGTAATGAGTCGATCAGCTCGTAGTTGTAAAAACGTTATCAAGACTTGAAATTCGAGTGGTGCTCAATAGATCAATTTTTTCTAGCGTACAAAATTTTT